AACCTAGAAGAAATGAATAAATTCCTAGAAAATACAACCTACCAAGTCTGAATCATGAAAAATAGGAAATCTGAACAAACCAATAATAAGTAAGGAGATTGAAGCAGTAATTAAAATCTTCCCAACAAAAAAAGCCTAGGACCAGATGGCTTCATGGGTGAATTTTACCAAACATGTAAAGAAGAATTAATGCCAATTCTTCTCAAATTCTTCAAAAAAATTGAAGAGGGGGAACACTCTCAAATTCATTTCCCAAGGCTAGCATTACCCCATACCAAAACCAGACAAGGATACCACAAGAAAACTACAGGTGAAGATCTCTAATGAATATACATGCAAAACTTCTCAAGAAAATACTAGCAAACTGAATTCAACATCACATTATTTTTTAAAAAGATGTTATTCATTCATTTTAGAGAAAGAGGAGGGGGAGGGCTAGAGGGAGAGGGAGAGAGAGAATCCCAAGCAGACTCCTTGCTGAGCACAGAGCCTGACGCGGGGCTTGATCTCACGACCTCAAGATCATGACCTGAGCTGAAATCAAGAGTTGGACACCCATTGAACTGAGCACCCCTCAACATCACATTAAAAGGATTGTACATCATGTTCAAGTGGGATTTATCCTGGGAAGGCAAGGATGGTTCAATATATGCATATCAATAAATTAGTGATATACCACATTAATAGAATAAAAGACAAAAATCGAATGGTCTTTTCAGTAGATGCAGAAAAAGCATTTACCAAAATTCAACATTCTTTCATGATAAAAACTCTAAAAAAATTGGGTATAGAATGAATATGCCTCAATATAATAAAAGGTCATATATGACGAGCCTACAGCTGACATCATACTCAGTGGTAAAATGTTGAAAACTTTCCCTCTAAGACCAGAAATGAGACAAGGGTGCCTACCCTCACCACACTATTCATCATATTGCTGGACATTTTAGCCTGAGGAATTAGGCAAGAAAAATATTATAAAAGGCACCTGAATCAGAAAGGAAGAAGTAAAATGGTCTCTGTGTACTAATGACATAATTTTGTAAATAGAAAATCCTAAAGACTTCACCAAAAAAACTATTAGACCTAATACAGCAATTTAGTAAAGTTTCAGGATACAAAAATCAATGTACAATAGAGAACAAACTGAAGGCTAATGGAAGAAGGTGGGTAGGGGATGGGCTAAATAGGTGCTGGGGATTCAGGAGGGCACTTGTGATGAGCACTGGGTGTTATATATGTAAGTGATGAATCATTGAATTCTACTCCTGAAACCAATAGTACCTTATATGTTAACTAGAACTTAAATAAAAACTTGAAACAAACAAAACAAAATCAATGTACACAAATCAGTTGCATTTCTATACACTAACACAGTATCTGAAAACAAAAACAATTCCATTTATAATAACAAAAACAATAAAACATTTAGGTATAAACTTAACCAATCAAGTTAAATATCTATACATCAAAAACTATACAACATTGAGGAAAGAAACTGAAGACAAAAATAAATGGGAAGATATCTTGTGTTCATGGGTCAGAAGAGTTAATATTGTTAAAATGTCCATAGTACCTAAAGTCATCTATAGATTCAATGTAGTCCCTATGATGTTTTCAATGCCATTTTTCACAGAAATAGAAAAAGAATCCTAAAATTCTTATGAAACCACACACACACACACACAAAAAAAAAACAAATAGCCAAAGCAATCTGGAGAAAGAACAAGGCTGGAAATATCACATTTCCTGATTTCAAACTATAGTACAAAGCTATGGGAATCAAAACAGTATGGTACTGGCACAAAAATAGACACATTTATCAATGGAACAGAATTGAGAGCCAAGAAATAAACCCACACATGCAGAGTCAACCAGTATATGACAAGAAAACCAAGAATACTCAGGAAAGGATGGTCTCTTCAACCAGTGGTGTTAAGAAAACGGGATATCCACATGCAAAAGAGTGAAGTGAGACCCTTATCTTACACCACACACAAAAATTAATACAAAATGGGGTAAGGACTTAAAAGTAGGCTTTGAAACCATAAAAATACCAGAAGAGAACAGAGGGGGAAAAAGCTACTTGACATTGGTCTTCGCAACAGTTTTTCAGATTTGACACCAAAATACAAACAATAAAAGTAAAAATAAGTAAGTGGAACAACATCCAACTAAATGTTTCTGCACAGCAAAGGAAACCATCAATAGAATGAAAAGGCAGCCTATTGAATGGGAGAAAACATTTGCAAGCCATGTATCTGATAAGGGGCTAATATCCAAAATATATAAGTAGCTCATACAATCCAATACCAAAAAACCCCAAATAATCTGATTGAAAAATGGGTAGAGGACTCGAATGGACATTTTTCCAAAGAAGATATACAAAATATACATGAAAATGAACTCAATATCACTAACCATCAGAGGAATGCAATCAAAACCACAATGAAATAAATATCATCTCACACCCATTAGAATGGCTGTTATCAAAAAGATACAAGGTAAGGATGTGGAGAAAATGGAATCCTGGTTCACTGATGGTGGGAATGCAAATTGGTGCAGCCACTCTGGAAAACAGTATGGAAGTCCTCAAAAAATTAAAAATAGAACTATCCTATGATCCAACAATTCCACTCTGGTTATATATGTGAAGAAGATGAAATCACTATTTCAAAGAGATGATCTGTACACTCATATTCATTGCAGCATTATTCATAGTAGCCAAGACATGGAAGCAACCTAAGTGTCCTCTGACAGGTGAATGGATAAAGAAAAGGTTTTATATATATAAATATACTTAAAATAAAAAAATATATATATGTTTATATATTTAATGGAATATTATTCAGCCATAAAAAAGAAATCCTGCCATTTGAGACAACGTGGATAGACTCGAGAGCTCTGAAATCTAAAAACATTGAATTCACAGAAGCGGAGTAGAATGGAGTAGTCGCCAAAGACTGAGGGGTGGGGAGGAAATGGGGAGATACTGGTCAAAGGGTATATAAACCTTCAGTTATAAGATGGTTACATTTCAGGGATCTAGTGAACAGCACAGTGACTATAGTTAACAATATCGTAATTCTGAAAGTTGCTATGAGAATAAAGCGTTAATGTTCTCACCATAACAACTTAAAAATGACAATAAGGTGAGGTAAAGAATGTGTTAACTAACCTTATTGTGGTAAACATTTTTCAAGGCTTGTGTGTAAAAAATCATTGCACTGTTCACCTTAAACTTAACACAGTGTTATATGTCACTTATATCTCAGTAAACCTGGGGGGGGAGAGTTCTCAGGGTATAAGGTTCGGGAAGGGGGCCCTGAAAGTGTGAGAGCACGTGGAGTCAGTTTCACCTGGGGCGATGACTAAATGAAAGGAGTCAGACCTGGGCTCGCACTAAATCCTTCTGGATTTATGCATTGTTAGAATCCCCTAATGTTTGAGAAGTGCAGACTGTAGGATGACCCCCCCCGCCCCCCCAATCCAGCTCAACCTTCTGGATCTATTGTTGAAGAAAATGAGGCCCCGGGCACAGGTATTTAGTGTCAGATGGGACGTCCCACTCTGAGTTCTGGGCATTCTCTAGGACTACCCCACACTCAATTTCACTGGCAAACTTTTTCAATGGGATACATACTCAACATCTATTATATGCCAGTTTCTGTGGCAGAAGGTGGGGATTCAAAGATGCCTATGAAGATTGTGACCTAATTAGTGAGACAGAGAGCTTCAGAACTAATTATTTTATACCAGATAAAAAGTATTAATGGATTTTAATTATATGGGCAAGTGCATATACAGAAATGCTAAGTGAAAAAACCAGGAAACAAAATTATATATATATTCTGATTTCATTTTGTTAAAAAAATACAGAGAAACTTGAGAGATGCAATAACCCACTAATGAGCCAAGTGTTATGGAATATGCGAAGACCTGGTGTTATAAATATTTGTGCACTTCTTTGATCTCCCTACTTTGAGAGCCAGGACCCAGTTTTTGTACTTGGTATGGGTGCATCTTGCCCCAGACCTGCCACCCAGTAGCAGTTTAGTAGATGTTGAATCAGTGAGACTCCCTTCTGCAAGGTGGTCCGCACTCCAAAGGAGTATGTCTGCTAAGAGGAGAGTAAGAGCGTGAGAAAGGACGAGGTTAGCACGCTGGTAAGACAGAGGTGGGCAAGAATCCGAAACTCTTGGAAAATAGAAAAAGCCAACTAGGCTGTGGACGGACGGAAACTGACGCTCTCCCCCTGGCGGCGGCACCTGATGCTCGCAGGGACCCCGCAGCCCAGCCCCGGCGTGGGCGCCTGTGGGAACCTGAGGTTAGACGCAGCCCTCACACGGGGCACCTGGGCACCCGCACCAGTGGGATCTGCCCTGTGGGGGATACGTCCCAAGAAGCGAGATCCCCGACAGAGACGGCTTGGGATGGGGGTGGGGAAACAGCTCTGGTTCTTCTAGATGGCTGGGGTCGAGACAGAGCCGGGGGTAGTGAGACTCAAAAGAACAACTCCCACACGCTCCCATCACCCTTCCTCCGCAGACTTTCAAGTGTCTTCTTGAGATAGCGTGCAAGGGATGCACACTATCACGGGGACAGACCTCTCTTGTGAATCGACCCATGAATTTTTCCTCGTGCTTCATTCTTTCACTCTGGGGACAAAGATACTGGGGTGAGAGGTGGTGGCCCGTCTGCTCCGCACGTCCGAGGAACCCCCCTCCCTCGGCCCAGCCCGGCGTCCGGGTTCCTTCCCCCTCCCTCCTTCCCTGCCTCTCTTCTAGCCCACCTCCTCCCCTCCTTCGCCTCCCCCTCTGCGTCCGCCCGCCCGCGTCATCGCCCCCTTTCCCCTCCCATGTGCCGGCCCGCGCACTGCTCGGCGCAGGCCTCCGCAGTCTCCGCCACCAGCCGCTGGTGGTGCGGGCGGGTCCGCGAAGCTCGCGGCAGCAACCCCCGCCCGCCCTGGCCAGCGCTCTGACCACCGCGGGGGCCTTTGATTCGAGCTGGGCAGCGCCCCGAGCGCCGAATAAGCTTCGCAGGTAAGGACGGAGCCCCCCCCGCAGACAGGGCAAAACCCAAGATTCTGGACGTTTCCCTGAGAAAGGCAGACCCACCCGAGGAGAGCTTCTTTGAAGGGCTCCAAAGATAGGGATCGAACTTAGCACTTTAAGTCCTGAAAGAAACTACTCTCCCAATAGGCAGCCCTGGATGCCGGCCTCTGCCCAGTTGAATATTAACAGTAACAGTGTTTGCATTGGACTCTAAATGGAATTCTTTCTACTTAAGCAGTACCAGAGGGGACCCTCTGTATTTTATGATTATTAACAGATGCCACTGAAAAAGGTGTAAAACCATTCTTGGAAAGTCTACTCTGGTTGAAAGCCTCCTTGGCAGGGTCACTATGAAAGCCAGGAATCTCTCTCTCTGACTTTCTGCCTGTCTGTCTTTCATCAGCTTGGCTGCACGGGTCAGCAAAAGGAGCAGCGAAAAACATTTTTAAAAATGAGAAGGTGAAATGAAATTGAACAGTCTTGTACTTGCTTTAAAATACAAGTAAAGGGGGATAGATAAAGCAAGATGGGCAAAATCTTGGTAATTATTGAAGCTGGGTGATGGGCATACGGAGTTATATTCTCTCTCTCTCTCTTTTTTTTTTTTACTCTTCTACTTTTGTGTAGTCGGGAAATTTTCCATAATTAAACAGTTTTTGAAAAGTTGTAGAAACACTCCCCCCAGCATCATTTGGCCTTTTTACACTGTTACTGATTTGAAAAGAAGCTGCTTTTCGTATCTAGTTAGTCCCCCCTTTTATTAACCCTTCTCACTTCTGAAATTAATTTTCATTTTATCCCAGTACATTTGTCTCTACAGAGTGTTATAAAAGTCCTATAATCCTGGAGCATTGTGCCTAGAATCTAGTTTATAATTTAGACGAGAGAATGTTAACAGTTCCAGCCAAATAAGACATCTAGGCTTGAAAGCAGTGACCAAGTATATGGAATTTTATTTTTACTAGGAGATATTAGAGGAGACCCCTTAGTGCGAGAGGAGGTTGAGCATGGATACTCTGCCCACTTTTCTTGCAGACAACTCAGAAACCCGTACACTCTTGAGACTTTTTCATGTTTTTAAATGTGAGATTGTTTAGCTTGGAGCTTGGCATATGGGATGTGCTCGCTATATGTTAAAAAAAACAATTGCTAATGTGAGTTAATTTTCCCTATCGAGTCCATTATTTATCTTTCTCTGACTGGTGCTCTAATGTCCAAGTCCAGCATATGGCGTTTGAACAGTAGGATCAGACTCGGAATTCTGGAGGCTGAAGCCACCTCAGCTGGCCTTGGGTTAACTTTGCAGATGAGAAATCTGAGATGAGAGGCTGGGAAACAGCATAGCCAAATGAGTGGTATAAAAGTTATTTTCCCCCAGAGCTGCAAATAGGTTAAACCGACCCACGATTAGCCAACAACATTGTGATCCTAAGAGGCTTTAAAGCCTGCAGAGTCATGAAGCTCATACATTTACATATATTCTTCGCTCTGAAAGGCCAACTTGCCAGAGAAAAACTAAGTCAGGAGCCATATGCTGTGAGTTTCCTATCTCCGTGTATGAGCGAGCCAGCAGAGGGTTCCCCTGGGGCTCCCTTAGTGCCATTCACCCCAAAGTTGATTTACACACAACATATCCATTACATAAATTGAAATGTCCATATCCTGGAAAAATAGCCAAAAAACAAAGGGGGTTTTAGTTTTTATTGTGATGAGAAACAGAAGTTGTGGGTTACTGTAAAATAATTAACTGTGTCACTTTACCATCTTCCTGCCCTCGAGTACTGCCAAATTTTTAAAGCAGACATTACTTTGTCCCCATTCCTGAAACTAAACTTGAAAATAGTGCTACGGTATGGTGTTTTGAATAGAAATTGGCGCACTGTCAATGAACTTTTTTGCCATTTCTTTTCAGTGTTGAGTCAGTGGAGAGCTTCTCCTTTGGTAATGGATTATATAAAGTATTTGATAAACATATGTGAAATAGTTGGCAAGTTGAAGATTTTTCTTTGTGTTGAAACGACTTGCAGCACATTTTCGGGGACTCTTTAGCAGTGCTGTAGGTCAGAGTGGAAGAGTCCTGGCGCTATAATGGTTTTTGGAAAAATCCACCTGCCAGAAAATTGTCTGGCTGTAGACAGCATCATCAGCCCTCAGTTCATCAGGTTAAGGCTCTGTGGCCTGTAGATGGGTTTTCAAATGTGATAAATTCCATATGTGACAACCATTTAGTATGTTATTAGCCAGTTGGATTTTAACCCCTGCTGAATCGTACATGCTTTTATTTTTTTATTTTATATTTTTTAAGATTTTATTTATTTGAGAGAGAGAATGAGAGAGAGAGAGCACATGAGAGGGGGGAGGGTCAGAGGGCGAAGCAGACTCCCTGCCAAGCAGGGAGCCCGATGTGGGACTCGATCCAGGGACTCCAGGATCATGACCTGAGCCGAAGGCAGTCGCTTAACCAACTGAGCCACCATAAATTCTGTATCATAGCTCAGTGAATGTAAACAATTTCAGTGCAGGACGTTAGATTTGCCATCAGCAGCCTCGCGCTGCCATCTAGTGGTGGTAGGACGGACGGACAGCAGGCAAGTTCCTACCCCGGGGACCAGCATTTAAACTTCTTGAGGATCACTCCTGACCAAGTGACGTGTTTCTCGTTTGTGGTTTAGCCTGAGACTTTAGAGCTGAGAGGTATCTTAGAAGTGTTTTACTCCAGCTCGGCAGGTCGGGAGGATTATCACAGAGGTTCTTAAACAAGGAAAGAAACTTTGAAATGGTGCCTAACATAGTAAGCACTCAGTATGTGTTTGCTGAATAAACAAATTTATCTACCCTGTTCCAGTTCTTGTCTCTCTCTACCACAGCCACCAAAAAGTTTTAACACGATCTTCTGTTTTTAGTTTGAAAATTGAGGGACTGTGTAATTTTCCTTAAAGTGAAAATTTTCATTTATGTCTAAGTCTCTGAACCAAACTTTTCTTTTTCCACTTTATGTCACTCCCCACTATTCTTTCTTTCTAAACATCCAGGGCAGACAGTTGTAAAAACTAGACTCTTATCTTTCCTTTTTTTTTTTTTAAGACTTTATCTATTTATTTGAGAGAGAGAGAGTGAGAGAGAGAGCCCAAGAGGGGGTAGGGTCAGAGTGAGAAGCAGACTCCCTGCTGAGCAGGGAGCCCGACACGGGACTTGATCCCAGGACCCTGGGATCATGACCTGAGCCGAAGGCAGTCGCTTAACCAACTGAGCCACCCAGGCGCCCTAGACTCTTACCTTTATCTACTGCTGCTGTAAAAATGATCAAAAACGTAGAGATTTAAAAACAATACATTATCTTACAGTTCTGGAGGCCAGAGGTGTAAAGAGGGTCCGCGGGGTTGCATTCCTTCTGGAAATTGGAGGAGAGATTATGTTCCCTTGCCCTCTGCAGGTTCTAGAGGCTGACCCTCCTTCCTATAAGGATCCCGGTGATTACAGGAGCCTCACCTGGATAATCCCAGCTAATCTCCTCATGTAACGATTGTTCACGAAATCACAGGTGCAGTCCCCCTCACCCTGTAAGGAACATATGCACAGGTGCTGGGGATTCAGGTATGGCTTTCTTCGGGAGCCATTTTTTGGGGCATACCACAATGAGGTGTACAGCCGTTAGAGATGTATGAGATCCCTTCTAAATACCTACCTATGTTTTGGTTCCTGTCGTTTGATATTAATAGTGATTGCGGTCATTTGTGGGTGTTTGCTGGGCTCTGGGCATTGTGCTTGTATACAGCATATTAGTTTCTCACCAAAATACTCTAAAATATCATTCCTGTTTAGCCAATGATACTAGGAAATAATGTTGGGAGAGGTTATGTAACCTTCCTGAAAATCATACTGCCCTCCAAGCCCACTGCCTCCAGAAGCCCCGAAACACCTTCCATCACTAATTACTAGTTACCGTTACTTTCCCATCACCGTGATCCCATACGCTTTTTAACTTAAATGCTGTCTCCATGCAGGACTCCAGTCAGTGAGTGATGTTAGGTGAGGGCTCAAGTGGACAGGGAATTAGACTTTGTAAAACACCCACGCTGCCCTGCATCCGCTCCCAGGTTGTGAGGGTGACTATTAAAGCTTTTCGAAGTGTTCTTCACAACCTAAGCCATGTGACGCTCGCTTCACACTTGCCTCCTCTCCCTGCTCATGCTCCTCCCCTCCTGCTGCGGCCTTTTGCCCAAACCAGCCCTTGTGTCTGCAGTGATTGAGACTATCTGGCCCAGGCCACAGTGTCCACCCGCCGTGTGTCCATCTTTCCCGGGCAGGTGGAGGCTGAAGGAGGAGGAGGAATGAAGACGGCTGTGCGCGCTTCCGCACGTAAGGTGTGGAATCCACCGCTATCACTATTAATATCAAACGACAGGAACCAAAACATAGGTAGGTATTTAGAAGGGATCTCATACATCTCTAACGGCTGTACACCTCATTGTGGTATGCCCCAAAACATGGCTCCCGAAGAAAGCCATACCTGAATCCCCAGCACCTGTGCATACGTTCCTTACAGGGTGAGGGAGACTGCACCTGTGATTTCGTGAACAATTGTTGCATGAGGAGATTATGTTGGGAGGGGCAGGGGGCTGGAAACGTGGATAGCTAAATAAAGCACAGGCGTGTTGGCAGAAGTGGCTGTGCCAGTCATTTCTGTGTCCTAACAAACACCCGAGGTAGAAATTGGCATTGGCCCTCCAAGGTCATTGATCTGAGCAGTCCCTGACCCACACCACCCCTGGGCATCGTGTGACAGGTTCATGCAGAATTAGGTTCTATGGCAGCACGGTATACACATGAATCTGGACAACTGCCTGAGGATACATAACAAGGGACCCGGTGCAAAGACAGGCCTGAGTAAGTGCAAGTCTATCACCTGGCGAGGGAGAGCATCTCAGTGCAAATTCCTTTTTTTTCCTCCGGCTTTATTGAAGTATGATTGACAAAATTATGTATAT